GTGCTGGGATTTCTAGACCCGGTTAGAGGTGGCCAGTCGCGGGAACAGCCCAGGGGAACAGGTTCCCGGCACAGGGGCCAGCCAGTGCAAAGGCCCTGGGGTGGGAAGGAGGTGGCATGCCGGCTGGTGAGGGAGGGGTGACTGTATCCCCAAATCTCAAGGCTGGCGGGCGGAGGCGGAGCCCTCAGTTTTCTGCCCTCTCCTCGCCTCTCAGCCGTCCTTGCTCCGAGCTCAAGCCCTGGTTCTGGGGGCTGGGGCTGTTTCTTTGCCATTCACTCGACTCTGTCTCCGGGGAGAAAGAAGCCTTCAGACAGACACACAAACCTCGCGTTGGGAGCGGTTTCAGCGTGGGAGAACCAGAGGTTTCCAGGAGGAGGCCCAGGCAGGCCAATGCCCTTCCTCACTGGAAAGAAATTGCTCTCTGTCCGTCCTTGAGCAGCGAGAGCGAAACACTGGGTCCATCTTCTGGTCTGGCATCAGCTAGAATTTTAGTCTGTTACAAACAATGGCCTACTTGGGACATATCAAATGATTTATTTTGGTTTGCTGTTGCTACATGCTAACATTCATTGAAATATATGGCATACAATTTCAACTTGGGGGGAAACCTTCTGAGAGTATAATTTGGTGGAGCATTAAGCCTTTGACTATCAGAGGATTTACCAATGTGTTACCTCAGAAATTATAAAAGGAAGGACAGGGAGATCTCACTACGGGAACTGTGTCTATGAACTGCATTGTCTGCGCCCTTCATAAACCATAAAGAAGAGAGTACAGCAGGGATTTCTAAGAGACAGCAGCCAGAGGGAGGGGGATGTAGCTCAGTGGTAGAGCGCATGCTTTGCATGTATGAGGTCCCGGGTTCGATCCCCGGCATCTCCACTTTGTTTTTATTTCCGCCTGCCTTTGTCACTAACGCTACAGATCGCCACTGCAGCCTTGATATGGACGTGCAGTCTCTCTCCTCTCCCTTTGTGAAAGCCCCTACGTTGTAGAAGAGGCAGGACACTAAAACCACTCGTCCCCGGCCGTCGTCAGGGTGCGCGCCTGCAAGTCCCCCCGGGTTGGCCGTGGCTGACACCATTTTCAGAGGGGGCCCGCAAAAGCAAAGCGGCCCAGCGGGGTATTGTCACGCGAATGCTCTCCGGTGGGTACAATTCTGTCTGCAGTGGTCATAAACGCCTTGCCGTCACCTTTCTCTCCTTGATGTCCCGTTTCAAACAGTAAAGACGGCTCGGAGCTGGAGGGCTTGGGGTCTTTGGGGAGCTTAACAACCATGACCTGAGCCCGCAGGAAGGGACGCGCTGGCCGGGTCAAGGAGGGCGAAGGGAACTAAAGGCCCAGGTTCTTTCTGAAGGGAACGGGCCTGACTCCAAGTGACAGATGCAGCTGTACCCTGTGTCCCTAGGGCAAGACACGGAAAAAACACCAGGGGGCGGTAACTGTTAAAGGCTTTGAACTTCCCAGAAAAGCTGTGAAGCTTTGGAAAATTTTTTCATCTATTGTTTTGTGCTTAAAAAAAAATTAAAAGCTCATTCTATGACATAGCTGGAGACATTAAATTCGTAGAGTGGAGGGGCCCGGGCTGGGGAAAGAGGGGTGGGGGCTGCTGTTTGATGGGGACAGAGTTCCAGACTGGGAAGACGAGGGAGAGAGAATTCTGGGGAGGGAGGGGTGCTGGTGACCGCTGCACAGTGGACGGAATGCACGCCGCCGGGCTGCAAGCTGAAATATGCTAAGTGTTATGTTGCCTGTGTTTTTCCACAATTTGAAAGCAACACCGAGAACAAAGCCAAGCAGATGAAGTGACTTCCCGCTCAGGAGGCGTCTCTGGAGGCCGCACCTGCGGTGTCACTTCCACTGCCAGGAAGGGAGCTGGTTATTTTTGAGCCACGTAATTCGAACCAATTCAAAAGTACCCACGCAAACAGGAAAAAGAATGAGTTCACTGGCTCCCTGGGGCCTTTTTTTTTTTTTTTTTTTTTTGGCAAGCCTTCTAACCTGCGCATAAACTTGAGCCTTTTTTGGTTATATAATCTGTGACCAAGGACAGCCAGCTTTCCCCACCGAGTTCTCTGACGTCACCTCCATGGGGAACAAACATTCGTTGCACCTTGCGCTCAGGCGTTCGACGGTGCTGAAAGACGCCAGGTAGGAGGCTGTGACCTTCACCGGAACTGCGCCCGTGGGGGAAGGGCAGCCCGCGGCCCGGCACGCACCCGCCCGGCCCCTCCCCCGGCCCTTTGTGAGCTCAGCCCGCCCCGCGCCCAGCCTGCCTGCCAATCCCGACTCTGTTGCTGGGGCTCTGCCGCGTTGCCGTTGGTGCCAGCTCTGAAGCCGCCCTCTCCGGGTGCCTGCAAAGGACGGATCCGAGGGCGGAACGAACTGAGCGTGGACGATGACTCAGCGGGCTTCTCGCACGTTCTGGCACTCTGCATTCTAGGTCAGGAGCCCTCTCCAGGCGGGACAGCGAGGCGTTGCCGGCGCTTTCCAGAACACGGAACAGCAGGCCAGACAAGGGCAGGGGTCTCAGCCTCTCGCCGTGGACGTGTTGGGGGACTGCTCACTCCACCATGTCTCAGTCACTGGGTGCCGTGGCCCCACAGCTGGGGCAACCCCTGGTCCCCGAGAGCAGTCAGTCCTGGCGGAAAAGGCCACTGCCCGGGCGCACACAGCCGCTGCCGTCCCTGTGCCCGGTCACTTCCCCCTCCCTCCCTGGGAGAGACGTTTACTGAAGTTCCCCGCGCGCGGCCCGCTGCAGGACGTCCCGGGTGCCGGGCTGCCTCCCCGGGCTTTTTCTAGAAACGTCGGTTTCTCTCTGGAGCTAACCCTCGCGCACTCCCCCTCCCGCTTCTCCTCCTCCCTCCTCCTCCCCACCCTGCCTCTGCCATCACGACTGTTTTTCTGTACCCTTTGGACTCCAAAAAAAGCTCGAGTCACAGGCGCGTGACTCAGAGCGACATGACTCACAGAGCCGCCGTCACCAGATCCACACAGGGCGTGTTCGGGAGCCAGCGAGAAAGCTCACCTTCCGGTGCCCTGCAGAGATGCGAACTTCAGAAAAACAAAACAAGAACGAAAACACCTGGCCATCACAGGAATCCGTGCTGGCCATCACCAGGGTCTCCCGCTAGCTTGGGTTCCTGCTCTGCATTTTAACCCCCCGGGCCCGGGCATTCCTTGTTTGGGGGTTTAAGGGGTGGAAAAGTCCTCTAACAATGCTCAGGTAGATCTTCCCAGATCCACACAGCCGCAGGTTACCACAGCAACCGCACAGCGGTTGTTCTGCCGGGGCTTCTCGGTGAAATGACACTTGTAAAACGGTCTTCCCCTCTAAGGAGGCGCTGTGGTCCCGCCTCCGCCCCATCGTGGCAATGGAACATTCTAGAAGAGTCGGACAGCACAGCTGGGGGGGGGGACTCGGGGCACGAGGGGGCAAGTCCACCGCTAACGTTTAAGAGCCTCCAACTCACCTGCTGGTCGACGCCACGATTCTCCCAAACACCAGGACACGACCCCGTGGCTGACCGTGCCCCTCCCCCTTGTGATCACAACGCGAGGTGCGCGTTTCATGCATCGGATCCCGGAAACACAGAGCGCAGCTTCGGTTCGCGTCCGTAAAAAGGCCCAGGTTAAAGCCCAGGCCGCACCAGGCGCCTCCGGCGGCGGCTTCCGGGGAGAGCCTGGGCGGCCGCGACCGGCCGCGACCAGCCGCGACCAGCCGGCGCTGTCGGGGTCCGCCGTGGCTCCCCGCGGGTCTGCGCGCCGGCGGCCCGGCCCGGAGCCGGGGCCGCGGAGGCGAGGCCCGGATGTGCCCAGTCACGGCGAGACCACGGCGGTCACCTCAGACGCGACCCCACAGGAAGCCCCCTCGAAGTCACGAGCCGGGGGGGGGGGGCAGAGCGGGCCGCGGAGGCGAGACCCGGGTGTGCCCAGTCACGGCCCCCCCGAGACCACGGTGGTCACCTCAGACGCGACCCCACAGAGAGCCCCCTAGAGGTCACGGGCCGTGGACACAGTGGGCCGCGGAGGCGAGGCCCGGATGTGCCCAGTCACGGCCCGGCCCCCCCCAGGACCACGGCGGTCACCTCTAACGCGACCCCTCAGGAAGCCCCTCGAGGTCGCGGGCCGGGAGGACAGTGGGCAGCGCGCGGGGAGGCCCGGATGTGCCCAGTCACGGCCCCCCCGAGACCACGGTGGTCACCTCAGACGCGACCCCACAGAAAGCCCCCTCGAGGTCGCGGGCCGTGGACAGAGCGGGCCGCGCGCGGGGAGGCCCGGATGTGCCCAGTCACGGCCCGGCCCCCACGAGACCACGGCGGACACCTCAGACGCGACCCCACAGAAAGCCCCCTCGAGGTCACGGGCCGTGGACAGAGTGGGCCGCGGACGCGAGGCCCGGATGTGCCCAGTCACGGCCCGGCCCCCCCCCCAGGACCACAGCGGTCACCTCTAACGCGACCCCTCAGGAAGCCCCTCGAGGTCACGGGCCGGGGACACAGTGGGCCGCGGAGGCGAGGCCCGGATGTGCCCAGTCACGGCCCCCCACAGGACCACGGCGGTCACCTCAGACGCGACCCCACAGAAAGCCCCTCGAGGTCGCGGGCCGGGGACAGGGCGGGCCGCGCGCGGGGAGGGGGCGCCGGGCCGGAACCCCCGCGGGCCGCCCACCGACGGGCCGCTGCGGCCGAGGGGACGGGGCGCGGGGCGGAGCCGAAGCCCCCGGCCGCCCGCCCGCTCCGGGCGCCGCCCGGCTCCGCGCCGGGTCTTCCCGCCGCCCGCGCGCCGGCTCCCCTCCCCCAGGGCGGGCGCCCGCACGTCGGCCGCAGCACGCAGCAAACGCCCTGATCCCTCCGCCGGGCCCCTCAGGGCGGCGGCCCTTCCCCTCCCGGGCCCGGCGGTACCGCCCCGGGCTCGGCCCGAGAACGTTTTGTGAGGGGGCCGACGGCCCCGGGCGCAGGGTTCCTTCCCGGAGGGCGGAAGAGGCTGAGGAAAGTAGTTCCTTCTCGGCGTTTCTGCGGAGGGATCTCGCCGGGGCGGCGGCTCGCCGTCGGACTATATAAGCGGGCGCCGGGCGCGGCGCAGCCAGTTCCGTCGGAGCCGGAGTTCGGTCGCCTTCAGCCTGCGTACAGCTGCTGCCGCCGCCCGCCGCCGCCGCCGCCGCCTGGTGAGTGGACCTCGTCGTGCTGGCCGGGGTGGGGGCGGCCCGCGGCCTCTCGGCCGTGAGGGAGGAGGGCGGTGCGGCTGCCCGCCGCGGGCGGGATGCCCTCCCGGGCGGGTAGTCGGCCGGGGTCGCCCCGCAGGCGGAAGAACCGACAAGATGGCGGCGCCGCCGAGCCGGGAGGTCAGGGTGCAGGGCGGACAGGGGCCGGAGAGCGCCGAGCGCCGCGAGGGTCTGAGGAGCGGAAGGCGGCGTCGCCGGGCCGCGTTTGGAGACGTGGGGGAGCGGTGTGGCGGGGCTGACGGGCAGCGCTGGGCCCCGGTTAGGGGCTGGGGAGTAGGGAGGCGCCTCGGCGCGGGGCTGCTCCAGCGGGTGGGGGGCGGCTCGCGCCGTGACGTCACCCGCGTGTTGGCACACAGAGCAGGGCGGGGCTGCCTCCCGGTGTGGGTGGCGTCGGTTTCTGTCAGTTGCAAGACACACGGTTAGGGCCTAGGCGAGATCCTGCTGAGTGGACGGGAACGCGAGCCGGAAGGGGGGAGGGACGGAAAAGCCCTGAGTTCACTGGTCACGTTTCCCTGCTTTCTTCATAACGAAGGGTCTGAGGCTGGGGTTTTGAAGTAATTTTTCAGGTTTGTGTTGGGTGTCCTTTAGAGTTCCTAAGCAAGTTCTTAATTTTAATAGTGTAGATAAATAGACGATATTTAGTCTTTAGGAATATTAGTGAATTGTTTGCTGAATTTTTTTTGTTTCTTTTTGTGTGTTTTCTCATAACAGACAATGCAGATCTTCGTGAAAACCTTAACTGGCAAGACCATCACCCTCGAGGTGGAGCCCAGTGACACCATCGAGAATGTCAAGGCGAAGATCCAGGACAAGGAGGGCATCCCCCCCGACCAGCAGAGGCTGATCTTTGCCGGCAAGCAGCTGGAAGATGGCCGCACCCTGTCCGACTACAACATCCAGAAGGAGTCCACCCTGCACCTGGTGCTGCGCCTCAGAGGTGGCATGCAGATCTTCGTGAAGACCCTGACCGGCAAGACCATCACCCTCGAGGTGGAGCCCAGTGACACCATCGAGAATGTCAAGGCGAAGATCCAGGACAAGGAGGGCATCCCCCCGACCAGCAGAGGCTGATCTTTGCCGGCAAGCAGCTGGAAGACGGCCGCACCTTGTCCGACTACAACATCCAGAAGGAGTCCACCCTGCACCTGGTGCTGCGCCTCAGAGGTGGCATGCAGATCTTCGTGAAGACCCTGACCGGCAAGACCATCACCCTCGAGGTGGAGCCCAGTGACACCATCGAGAATGTCAAGGCGAAGATCCAGGACAAGGAGGGCATCCCCCCCGACCAGCAGAGGCTGATCTTTGCCGGCAAGCAGCTGGAAGACGGCCGCACCTTGTCCGACTACAACATCCAGAAGGAGTCCACCCTGCACCTGGTGCTGCGCCTCAGAGGTGGCATGCAGATCTTCGTGAAGACCCTGACCGGCAAGACCATCACCCTCGAGGTGGAGCCCAGTGACACCATCGAGAATGTCAAGGCGAAGATCCAGGACAAGGAGGGCATCCCCCCCGACCAGCAGAGGCTGATCTTTGCCGGCAAGCAGCTGGAAGACGGCCGCACCCTGTCCGACTACAACATCCAGAAGGAGTCCACCCTGCACCTGGTGCTGCGCCTCAGAGGTGGCATGCAGATCTTCGTGAAGACCCTGACCGGCAAGACCATCACCCTCGAGGTGGAGCCCAGTGACACCATCGAGAATGTCAAGGCGAAGATCCAGGACAAGGAGGGCATCCCCCCCGACCAGCAGAGGCTGATCTTGCCGGCAAGCAGCTGGAAGATGGCCGCACCCTGTCCGACTACAACATCCAGAAGGAGTCCACCCTGCACCTGGTGCTGCGCCTCAGAGGTGGCATGCAGATCTTCGTGAAGACTCTGACCGGCAAGACCATCACCCTCGAGGTGGAGCCCAGTGACACCATCGAGAATGTCAAGGCGAAGATCCAGGACAAGGAGGGCATCCCCCCCGACCAGCAGAGGCTGATCTTTGCCGGCAAGCAGCTGGAAGACGGCCGCACCCTGTCCGACTACAACATCCAGAAGGAGTCCACCCTGCACCTGGTGCTGCGCCTCAGAGGTGGCATGCAGATCTTCGTGAAGACCCTGACGGCAAGACCATCACCCTCGAGGTGGAGCCCAGTGACACCATCGAGAATGTCAAGGCGAAGATCCAGGACAAGGAGGGCATCCCCCCCGACCAGCAGAGGCTGATCTTTGCCGGCAAGCAGCTGGAAGACGGCCGCACCCTGTCCGACTACAACATCCAGAAGGAGTCCACCCTGCACCTGGTGCTGCGCCTCAGAGGTGGCATGCAGATCTTCGTGAAGACCCTGACCGGCAAGACCATCACCCTCGAGGTGGAGCCCAGTGACACCATCGAGAATGTCAAGGCGAAGATCCAGGACAAGGAGGGCATCCCCCCTGACCAGCAGAGGCTGATCTTTGCCGGCAAGCAGCTGGAAGATGGCCGCACCCTGTCCGACTACAACATCCAGAAGGAGTCCACCCTGCACTTGGTCCTGCGTCTGAGGGGAGGTGTCTAAGTTCCCTCTCAAGCTTTAACAAATTTCATTGCACTTTTCTTTCAATAAAGTTCTTGCATTCCAAGTAGAGTGTGTGTGTGTGGTTTTTTTTTTTTTTTTTTTTTACATTTATTTTTTCTAATTGCAAATAGAGAAATAGAGTATCCCAATAGGTGAGAGAAGAGCTCTTTCTGCTTTTCAGAGTGTTGGGGGGTTGACATTTTTCTACCAGTTTTTCTGGGTAATGATAAAGCTTTTTCTCCATTATAGGATATAGTTGGTTGAGGAAAAACATAGTGAGATACACATGTAAAAAGTCACCAAATAGCAGTTTTTGGAATATTAGAAACTAAATTGGAAGGGAAGGGGGCATCTACAGAGAAACCAGGTTTAATACAGTTTTATTGGGTGTGTTTCAAACAGTTCATCAGATTCTGTGAAAAGGAGCAGGTGGGGTGGGTGGGTTGCCAGCATCTGTTCTAGTTGGAGCTGTTCTTTCCAACTTGCTGGTGCATTCTGAGGGGGTGTGTGCTTGGGCCCTTGCCACCCATGTGGGAGACCCAAATGGGAGTGGGCAGGATCATGTTTGGCCTGGCTCAGCCTTGGCTATTTGGAAAATGGAGTGGATGGAACATTCCTGTCCTGTCACTGTCAAGTAGGTAAAAAGATGAAAATACAATGTTTTAATGAGTAGCAGGTAGTTTTAATCAAGCTTATGCCAGAATGGTTAGGAAATGAAAGCTACTGGCTGAAACGTCTGATAGGAAGATGGACTCCAGATCTTCATGTGGTAGGGTCGGGTGGCAATGTGGCTCAGTGTGTTAAAGCCCTGTCCTGTGTTGCTGGCTTCTCCGCTTCTGATCCCGCTCCCTGCTGGTGCACCTGGGAAAGCTGCAGAGGATGGCCCAAGTGCTTGGGCCAGTTCTCCAACGTGGGAGACCTGGAAGAAGTCCCTGGTTCCTGGCTTTGGCCTGGCCCAGCTTTGGTCATTGTAGCCAGCTGGGGAGTGAACAGGGAAAACCTGTTTATTTGGAAGGCAGAATTAGAGGTATACATCCTTAAAAAATTTCCTGCGGTGACTAGATAAGGGTTTGTATGTAACCCAACTGGGCAAAACATTGGGCCTCCTGTTTGAATTTGTGCAGAACTAAAGGTGGAAGTTGGGAACCCCAGAATTGTCCAGGGAGACGCTAAAAGACTTGGGAGGAGAAGTTTCCTCCCACCCGAGTTATAGGCAAATAGGCATAATCTGATGTACAAGAATTTTCTTAATTTTAGAGTGAACAGGTTTTTAGGTCAGGATCAATAGGAAATTGGTGCCCTTTAAGAAATCCACTAGTCTAACCTCATCGGTTTGGAGTTTCCTTTGACTTACGTACGTGTAATGTGTAGTTCACTGAGTTTCTGTGACTCCTGCAAACAAGCACAGGGATCAAGAGTCCAGGAAACAACCAGAGCTCTTGTCACTTCAGTCAGACTTCAGTCAGTACGCTGGTTTTTCCTTACTTCCCTCGTTAGCATCTGGCGTACCTATCACATAGGAAAAATAGTGCCTTGAAAATGTATGGCAGGCATTGCAAGGCTTCTAGATAATGAGTGTATTTTGAAAACGCTTCAAAATTAGATGGAGAAATCAAGCAGTTGGGTGACTTACTGCTGGTCTTGAGAGTGTGGGGCTGAGGCAACAGCCTGGTGTCCTTTGGACAAGTGGAGACCCTGTGTATCTTGTGTAAGCCGGAAAGTCTGGACACCAGAACATCATTCTAACAAAGCTATGTGAGTGTTCTAGGGGTGCGGATGCGGAGTTGAAAGCTCAAACTCTGAACTAAAAAGTTTCCTGTCAGGTTCAAAGGAGTTTCTGATTGCAGGTGAAGGTACTGGAAAGATTTTGAAAACTGAAGCACAGTATAGGCACATTCATAAAATCAGATGTAAAACGTACTATCCATATAAGCCCACTGCTAGGAAAACATGTTTGCCTGTTTCTAAGTTAAAATGTATAGTTCCATATAAACATACCTGTGTGTATGCAGAATTGTAAAAGGTGAGAGGAATCTTAAGTTCCTAATCACCCAATTTTACTTCCCAGAAATAACTACGTATAACACTTGGGTATGACTTCCCTTGTGTAACGAGTGTGCCATGTTTATTACATAGATACATGTGTACACGCAAACTGGAGCGTTTTCAATGTCCACATACTAGTCTGCTTTTTTTTTTTTACTGGGTAATTACAGCATGTTCCCATGCTAACACCTTTCAATACTATGCTAGTATCCCATAGTATGGATATCCTATGATTTATTTAACCTGTCTGCCAACGTGTATCAGGTTTTTTGTGATTTTACTATTTTAGAAGATTTATTTGAAAGTGAGAGGGGGAAACCAATCTTGCATCCACTGGTTTGCTCCCCAGGTGGTCCACATGGCCAGAGCTGGGCCAGGCCAAAGCCAGGAGCTTCATCCAGGTCTCCCATGTGGGTGGCAGGGCCCCAAACAGGTGGGCCACCTGTGGCTTTCCCTGGTGCCTTCCCAGGGAGCCGGATTGGAACCAGAGTGGCTGGGGCTCAGCCAGCTGCTCGAATACCGATACCTGTACCGCAAGTGGCTGCTTAGCCGGCTGTGCCCCAACGCCAGCCCTGGATCATTTGTTTAATGTACGTTTCTGAAGAGGCAACTTTCATGTGTTTCAATATTTAGAAAGGCGAATGAAGAGTATCATGAACAATATTTCATAAACTTGTATTTGTCTGAAGGGCACAGTGACAGGAGCTCCTCCATGGTGAGTTCACTCCCTGGGGCTGGACCAGGACCAGGTGGGAGCCAGGACCAAGAGCTCCATCCAGGTCTCCTATGTGGGAGGACTCGGGCTGTCACTCGCTGCCTCAGGCATGTTAGGAAGCTGGATTGGAAGCATGGAGTAGCTGGGATTCCACCTGGTGCTCCAGTTTGCCAAGTGGGTGTGCGGCGTAACACCTTTGCCACAACATGTGCCGCACACCTTCCATCCTTGCCATCCTAGTCCCAGCCCTCACCCGGAGCACAGTTCTTTCAGACTTCATGTGTTAGAACGATTGATAATATATATTAATTTCCCCACCCACGCGAGGTAGCATCTTGTCCATACCTGATTTTTTTTTTTCTTTATGCCTTTTGTCGTTTTGACAGAGTTCTGAGATCATTATGTTAGAGGAAAAGACCTCTTGTGCAATTCTCTCAAGAAGAAAGCCAGCCACCGGGGCCGCACCCATCCCCAGCGAACGCTTAGAAGCCTTTGGGGTACGTGAGGGACGAGCAGCTCACTTAAAGCACAGAGATGGTAAACTCTCACAGTCTGGGTAGTTTTAAAAGCACCTGTGTTTGGTTTCACACTTAAATGGCTACTACTTCAGGATTCACTTGCATAGGTTTCATTATGTTTTTTATTTATTTATTTATTTATTTATTTATTTATTTTTTGACAGGCAGAGTGGACAGTGAGAGAGAGAGAGAGAGAAAGGTCTTCCTTTTGCCGTTGGTTCACCCTCCAATGGCCGCCGCGGCCAGCGTGCTGCGGCCGGCGCACCGCGCTGATCCGATGGCAGGAGCCAGGAGCCAGGTGCTTTTCCTGGTCTCCCATGGGGTGCAGGGCCCAAGCACCTGGGCCATCCTCCACTGCACTCCCGGGCCACAGCAGAGAGCTGGCCTGGAAGAGGGGCAACCGGGACAGAATCCGGTGCCCCAACCGGGACTAGAACCCGGTGTGCCGGCGCCGCTAGGCGGAGGATTAGCCTAGTGAGCTGCGGCGCCGGCCTAGGTTTCATTATGTAAGTCTTGAATAAACCAGGAGAAAAATATGAGGGTTGTATTCGTATATACAGTTGTATATACAGTTTGTGTAAAGTAGTCTACCTTTTATGTTTTGCCTGAAAGTGTAACAAAAGTCCTACCAAGCTATAAAGTCCTCATGAAGTGGATTCCTGGAAATTTCCATTTTAATGTGCAGTGCTTATGTCTGCCTGAAGAGGGAGCTGCCGGAACAGACCGGTTCAGTGATGCAGCCTGCAGCGCCCCCCGGTGGCCGTGGCCGTGGCCGTGGTTGACCGAGCGATTCCAGTTCCTTCCTTTCTGTGCTGCCCGGAGGGCTGTCTCGTCCACTTCTCTGTGAAAGCGACTTCACCGTCCTCCCCCACGCCTTTGACCTCCTTTTTCTGTCTGGATTCTGGGCCTGCGCCGTCTCTGGTTCCACCCCAGCTGAGGCGACTGTAGCAGGTCTGCTCCTGCCTTCCACACCCCCCGGATCCTCCCTGTGGTGGACACCTCCCTTCAGGGGCTCGTTCCGCTCTGAAGTGCCACCACCTCGCCCACCTCGGCAGCTCGGGTCCTACCCGATGGAGAGCTAGGTCGGGCTGGGCATCGTGGGGCAGCACGTCCAGCCTCCCCTGGGGCGGCCCCACCTCATGACAAATACCAGCTGCTCGGTTTGCAGTGCAGCCCAGGCATCGGCAGTGTTAGAAACTTCTAGTGAATCTAGTGTAGCCAGGGTTGGGAACCCCTGATTTTAAAGTGTTGCCATCATTAAACGGGTGAAATTTTTTTTTTTTAAGATTTATTTATTTATTTGAAAGTCAGAATTACGCAGAGAGAGAGAGTCTTCCATCAATGGTTCACGATGGCCTCAACGGCCGGAGCTGTGCCGATCCAAAGCCAGGAGTCAGGAGCTTCTTCCTGTTCTCCCACGTGGGTGCAGGGGCCCAAGGACTTGGGCCATTTTCTACTGCTTTCCCGGGCCATAGCAGAGAGCTGGACAGGAAGCGGAGCAGCTGGGTCTCGAACAAGCGCCCATATGGGATGCCGGCGCTTTTAGGCCAGGGCGTTAACCCACTGCACCACCGCACCGGCCCCGAAATACTTTTCTTAATATTATTTTCTTAATGTATAATAATCTTTATGTATAATCTTAATGTATAATAATTATTTTCTTAATGTATTTTTGGGGGTTTGTGCACAGCAGGTTAAGCTACCATTTGAGATACCCCACATCCCATATTCGAGTGCCTGGGATCGAGTCACACCTCTGCCTCACTCATGCACCCGGGAGGTGGCAGA